TTGAGCTGTCTCCAACATATTTGGTTCTAAAAATTTTAAAAATACTATCAGAGAAACCAAGTACCTTAAATTTATGAGAGACTATTCAATGAAATATAGACAAATATAGACAAGAATATAGAATGAAATATAGGGCTTCCCATTTGAAAAAAAGCTGGAAGCATGCAAAATTTCACATTTCTGACATTCAAATTTTATTTCTGATCATGGTTTCTAAGAATTCAGCCAAAACTGTACCACTTTTGTATTTACATCTTTCTTCTACCTGTAAAGGTAAAGGCTGTAGGTGGGGTGTCAATATATAAAAAAACACCCTGTACAGTGTGTCCCCCCATAATATTCGCTACATATGGGAAAATCTAGATATGGAAACGCGAGAAGTGGGGTTAAATAGCAAAATATCGGAAAAAGTATATTAACAACAAAAAATAGGAAATTACTTGTTTTTCGCCATGGACATGCTCATGAACTTGCCGCTATAACAGTGATCACAGGACCGACCTTTAAGGTAATTGGACATGCAGGATCGATCGCACATAAGAAAAAATTCCATATCCTACATTTTTTCCCCACATGTAGCGAACATTATGTAGAACACTGTAGATCAGTCGACCAAACAGCATCAGTTTTGTAAAAAATACTTGGAAAATGTACGAATTCGAGGGCAGAAAGTAGCACCCTCCTCTCTCTCGAGAATCACGTCAAAAGTTTTACATAAATTTTGTCCAACCAATATCCACACAATTTGCCTTATAACTTTAGTAATTTGAATTCAATCTCAATATAATTGGGCTCAAATTGAAGCCAATCAAATCATCTTTAAATGTCTGCTCTCCAATTTTTGATGCAGCTTCAATAATTTCGCAGCTACGAAGTCAACAAATCAAAGAAAGCGAGTGAAGGGAACTTTAATTCCTCAAACATTTTTCTCAAGAGAAAAAAATTAAACGTCTCTCCAATTAATTTCAGATGCAGTTGCAAACTTGTCATCCAATTCGTCAAACATTTTTCTCGAAAAAAAAAAAAAAACCAAAACGTCTCTTGATGCTATGATGCTTTGAAAACATATTTTGCCTATCAACTTCGCAATTTCATTCCAATCGTAATTAGGCTCGTATTAAGCCATTTCAATCCTCCACTTATATCATTTCAAATAAGTTCAATGCTGCAACCAGCGAGAACTAAAAATCCAGCTTCCACACACTTCATCACTCAGTAATCGAACCATTTCAGTCTTGGTTTGGAAAAATTTTTCGAGAAATGTTTAGTGCAAAAACACATAATTAACAGAGTTGTAATTTAATTGGCTTCAATTTAAGTTTAATTACGTTGAAATCGGATAAAAATTAACGGAGCTGTGAGGCAAACACTGTCTCAGTGTCAGTTTTGGAAAATATTCAATGTTTGATAATTTCAATTTTGAAGCTTCTCACTCAGCTGCAAAACTGTGGAAACTAAATAAAAATCTCAGTCGATAGGTTTTGTAGAGAATTAAATTGACTTTAATAAGAGCCTAATTACATTGAAATTGGATGAAAATTAACGGAACTGTGAGCAAGGGCGTCCATAGAACATTTTTCAGGGGGGGGGGGGGCAAAAACCTGACTTTTATAAATAAGACCATTTAGGGCCAAATTATGGACCAACTGGTAAGTGTCTGGTTATTACCTAGCAGGTACTTTCTATTGTCTAGTACATAGAAAGTACCTGCTAGGTAACAACCAGACGTTTACCACTTTACCAGTCAGTCCATAATTTGGCCCTTATGTAGGTAACCATACGTATATTACTGAATCAACATAAGCAGTCTAAACTGTACTCATTTGTAATGACGTCATTTTAAAAAATAAACACACATTTCACAGACAGAATGTCAATTTGAAAATTATTATTTATAATAGCGTATTTCATTGGTAGAGTAAGTGCACAATGGTGCAATATTCGTGATCCATTGGCAGAGTCCGCGCAGCACTTTTGTATTTAATTGGGAAAGCAATGCACTGCGTTTTGCACTGAGTGCTGTTGGTGCGCCACCGGCTAAAAAGCTCGTGTCGCACTCAGTGCAGTTGTTTATTGTTATTTTTGAAATTGTGGCTATAGATGGTTTTTCATAAAAAGAGTCTCAAATTTTATTTTTTCTATTTTGGTGTCATATCGAAGTCTTTTCGACACTAAAAGTAGTTTCGAAAAGAAGCTCTTTGTGACACTCCTTTTTTACTTATCGGAGGTTGGTGACACTGACTGACTGATGGCCATCAAACTGTCATTCGCTATTTTATAATAGAAGATTTCTATATTTGGCATGTAGTGTTACCAACCTAAACTATGAAATCAGGAAATATGAGAATAAAATTTCCAAGAAAAATTTGTTTTTTTAATTAAACAATACCAAAATAGAAAAAATAGTATAAAATATTCGTTTCATAAGACATTTTATCGCACTCGCCCTTTAGAAAACTCGCCTCCGGCTCGTTTTCTAATATAGGGCTCGTGCGATAAAATGACGTCTTATGAAACTTGTATTTTAATGTACTATTTTTCTTGTGTTTTTTATATTTGTCTGCGAATCTACTACCAAAAATGTCAAAAATCGCTTGTTGATGGCAATTTGCCTTGATGAAAAGTAGCAGCAGCAGTGAAACCAGTAAATATGAAGAATATTTAGGGCTTCTAGCAGAGAGGGAAGAACTTTTTTTAAATTAAATTATAATAATTATTTATAATGAGCACAAATATAATTTTTTTAATGAAATTCCATTTTTGAGGTTGACTTGACGTATATGGGATGGTGAGGTACGATGATGTTTCATTGGGACTGCTCGCGTGCAGTTTTTTTAAAGTGTCAGTGCAAAACGAGTGTTGCACTTGCTCTACCAATGAAATACGCTATAAGTGTAAGCAACTTTTAGTATCACCCCCCCCCCCCCCCACCCCTTTATGGACGCCCCTGACCGTGAGGCAAAAACTGTATCAGTGTAATTTTTGGAAACTTTTCAATGTTTCATAATTTCAATTTTGAAGCTTCTCAGGTGCAAAACATTAAACATCTCAATTACCTATGTTTTAAGCACTAACATTCAATTTCATATAATTTGTATTACGCTGTGTCTAGAATCCCGGTACCGGTAATTGAGCAAATCCCGGTAAAAAATGTAGTCGTTGGCGGTTTCTGTTTTATCAAAGTCCAACTTAACCTAACTTTTTATGTTTTCAACTTGTTTTGTTGATGTGTGAACGTAAAGTGGAGTGTTTTGATGAGTTTATCAACCTGAAATTACTTTTTAAATGGTTTTTAATGTAGGAGGACAAACATTTAAAAGTTATAAAGAAGTTGAAGAGACTTTGACATGTGAAATGTGTCAGTTTGTGAAAAGACCCAAAATGTGGTATTGTTCTGATTAGAAATTTTTTTAAAAAAATTTCTCATCAGTGGATAATAGGTTTTCCTATTCTGGGTTTTACCACAAACTGAATTTTGGTCGGCCGATTAGATAGTCAGTCACTATATTGCAGCAAAAATTGCTGTTTAGTGTTGAATATTTGTCTTAGATGGCGCCACGATCAAATTTCGACCGTTGTACTAATTGTTCTGATTGCAAACTTATAAATAAAAAATGAGAAATATTTATTTTAATCTACATCCTAAACAGTATAGTTACATATATTGGCTTGAAGTAAATTAATAAATATTAAATTCGATTATGAACTGCTATAGGGCAATCCAACGACCTGTCAAAAAGAAATTCAAAATGGAGGCCAATGCCTTTTTATTTTAGAAAAATGCCGTTTTATTGCGATTTTTGATTTGTATAAAGTCTGTAAAGTGTTGATTTTTTGGAAAATGCATACGTTATGTATTGTACTTAGTTGTGGGAGCCGTTCTAGTTGCGAGAAAGTCTCGTTTCATGCCGTTCGTGCACAGACTAAACACAGGTTTTTAACGGAGAAAAACGATTTGTCTGTACTTTGTTAGGGCTTCATGGATTGTAGCAAAAGAGAAAAAATCTGACGAAATCCATATTAGAAAACCAAAAGGTCTTTCTACATAAACGGTGTATGGATCCAAGCCATTTACTATCCTCCACATCAATTTGTGTCGATACCTTGAATAGCAGACAAATAAAATAAACATCAGGATTCAGGATTTGGTTGAGAAAAAACTAAACAGAAAACAAATCGTAGATAGTACCTACCTAGTTGTTTAGTAGGTAAAGGTTTGTCAAAAAGAAATCATAACTTTTGCAAACATCCGGGTTTTCCACTAATAATTTCTTAAACTAAAGGCTTTCCATCTTAAAATACGGTATCCTTCTAAGCACTAGAAAATCGTCTTAAAACACCACAAAATACACAAAAAACAGTTTTTTGTTGAAAAATGTCACGGTTGTTTGAAATAATTTATGGCGCCAATTTTTTGGCATTAACCGCCATTTTGTTTGGAATGCCCTATATGTATAAAGTGTTTCATTTTAAATTTGTTTAAATTCTCAGGGGTTTTCCGAAATACCAAAGCCCTTATATAAGGTATTTCGAACCTAACTAACTTTTATGGTTTGAAATGTTTCAAAAAAGTGACGAAAACATTAATAAACTAACCTAAAATACCAATCAACTGATAAATAACGATAAAAACAAAATCAAAACATCGGGATTCACTTAAATCCCGGTACAAGTGCGTCCATATTGATAACGTCATCAAAACTACCGGTAAAAAATGTGTTACCGGTACCGGGATTCTAGACACAGCGTTTGTATTATTAGGAGAAATGACAAAAATAAGATCAAAAGACAAAATATCGAATAAGTGCTTGGAAAACTTAACAGATCTCGTAAAAGGAATTAATTTAAAACTAATCAGAGATTAATCAAGATTTGAATAGATTCAATATGTACCTACGCATTTTCAATATCTTGCACTTTCGATGTTTTTGTATTTTTGATTTGATTGTTACCGCTCTGGAGACCCATTATTATTAGAAGTCTAATAAATGTGTACTTACTGTTGTGCTTGTTCCGTCGTTTCATACGTAATTTGTACAACTTGTGTGTTTGGATCTTTGGAGGTAAGTTTATCACAATGAATGACTCGTCCATGTTGGCCCAGCAGCAGTTCGATGTCTTCAAACTTTATTTGTGGACCCAAGTTTGATATTATGATTTTTGGTGTTTGGCTGAAACAAATTAAAACAACAATTAAGATTATTATAAAAATTAAATGTAATATTGAATAGGGGCCCGTTATCTAATCCATTTTCTGATAAGGCCCTAAAAGCTCATCCAACTATCACGTGCGCATAAGTATTGAAAGATAATGGCAAATATTATGGGGCCAGCTTTCAACGGAATTCCAACTTTTACAGTCATCAACGCATCCGGTACCCGAGGAATGCGTAAGGGGACCTCTTATCCCCACGAAGACTAAAATAACTCGTCAAGCCTAAAACGGAAGCAAATCTAAAATGCTACCTACTACTTTTACTTTCTGTTTGTGTCTGCACACAACAAGTCTATTTCTAGATTATGTATTTTGACTGGGTGCATATAAGGGCCTCTCTAAAGAACTAGAGATAGGGGGATACAAATGATAACGGTTTTCAATTTACAGTTACATCTCCTGTTTGTGAGAGGGAAGTCAAGAAGATCACAGTTTTAATATATTTTTTCTTGGAAAAATTACAGTAGATCGTAGATTTATTTGTCCTGTCAAAACTCTCTTCCTCAAAAGATTTCTGAAGAAACTACTCTTAACCATGAAGAGGAAGTCAGATAAGGATTATTATAGAATTAGAAGATGAAATTTGTCTTTAATTCCTAGAGACCAGTCTCAATTCTAAATGAAACAGCAAAATTTATTCAAAACACCCTAGCAGTAGTAAATCTTGCCTTTATTATCGCTTCTTACTCCTGAGTTTTTCGTGTTAATAGTGATAATCATAATCATACAGTAAGATGAGGATTTATCACAATTTCTTCATTAGAAGTTATTTCTTTTATTCTACTATCTCTTTAGAAAATGACGATTTTGAAAGCAGAAAGTAGCACTTTCCCTCTTAATGGAAGCAAGCTTGTTTTTTCCTCTCCCTCTCGAATCATGTCTATGGAAATTATGAAATGTTTAGGATAAAAAGGGGAAAATTAGGAGCTCATTATAATGAAATGTTAAATTTTTCCAGTGGAAAACAACTGCACCATGGGAAACTATTGAAAATCTTTATTAAGCAAAAATGCAATCTCCTACATTTTAATATATTTCTGAAAAACTACTCAAGGGAAAATTATGAAACTTCTAGTATAAAAAAAGGAGAATTAGGAACTTACTTAAATTTCAATTTTTTTCAGCAAAAAACATCATGGGAAATTGATGAAAATCCACTTGCAAAATCTCTCTTACATTTTAATATTTTTCCGGAAAATTACTAGAGGGAATATTATGAAACCTTCAGGATAAAAAGAAGAAGATTAGGACCTTATTATACTAAAATTTCAAAATTTTCCAGTGGAAAACAACACCATGAGAAATTAATGAAAATCAATTTGCAAAATCTAAATTTAAGCAAAAATGCAATCTCTTACATTTTAGTGTTTTGCTGGGAAACTATTGAAGGGTAAATGATAAAACTTCTAGGATAAAAAGAAGAAAATTAGGAGCTTATTAAACTAGAATTTCAAATTTTTTACATGGACGGAAAATTGATGAAAATCAACTTGCAAAATCTAAATTAAGCAAAAATGCAATCTCTTACAATTTAGTGTTTTGCTGGAAAACTACTGAAAGGAAAATGATGAAACTTTCACTATAAAAAGAGGAAGATTAGAAGCTCATTATACTAAAATTTCAAAATTTTCCAGTGGAAAACAACACCATGAGAAATTAATTTAAAAAAAAACTTGAAAAGTTTAAATTAAGCAAAAATGCAATCTCCTACATTTTAATATACTTCTGGAAAACTACTGAAGGGAAAATTATGAAATTTCTAGGATAAAAAGAGGAAAATTAGGAGCTCATTATACTAAAATTTCAAATTTTTTCCATGGATGGAAAATTAATGAAAATCAACTTGCAAAATCTAAATTAAGCAAGAATGCAATCTCTTACAATTTAGTGTTTTGCTAGAAAACTACTGAAACGAAAATGATGAAACTTTCAATATAAAAAGAGAAAAATTAGAAGCTCATTATACTAAAATTTCAAAGTTTTCTAGTGGAAAACAACACCATGAGAAATTAATGAAAATCAGCTGCAAAATCAAAATTAACCAAAATGCAATCTCCTAGATTTTAATATATTTCTGGAAAACTACTTGAGGGAAAATTATGAAACTTCTAGGATAAAAAGAGGAAAATTAAGAGCTCATTATGCTAAAATTTCAAATTTTTCCAGCAAAAAACAATATGGATTGGAATTGGAAATGATTGAAAATCAACTTGCAAAATCTAAATTAAGCAAAAATGCAATCTCTTATATTTTAATATTTTTATGGAGAACTACTGAAGGGAAAATTATGAAACTTTTATTATAAAAAGGGGGATGTTCATTATACTAAAATTTTAAAGTTTTCCAGTGAAAAACAACACCATGGGAAATTAATAAAAATCAACTGGCAAAATCTGAATTCAACCACAACTTCAGACCGTTTACAAAATTTCATTACTCTTATTTTTTTTCCGCCATGAACTAAAACAAAAAAATTATCATCGACTCTTATCAAAGACACTCTCTATTCATTGAAAACCGAATTTTCCAATAACTGATGGGCACCTATAAACACCAATAATAAAGGCTGATATCAGTAAAAGATAAGATGTTGAGGAATATTAAATGATAGTGACTATAATCTACAACAATTGGAAAAAGTGAATGAGAAAAGTTGGGAAGAATTTGGATATCAAATGAAACAGCTGATTATGAAAAAGAAAAATGTTCTTTGGAGCTCAACATAATATGAAGATAGAGAAAGAAACAAGAAACTAGAAAACATGAAGCAGAAAAATAATAACAAAATAAGGGAAGATCATGAAAATGTAGTGACAATACTATAAAAAGATCTCAGAAGGAAACGACCAAGAGGGCAATAATTCCAGCAAAAGTAAACCATGGAAAATGTAGAGAAGAATTCGATTTTACTGGAAAAAGGCGTTAAAAGTAGATGAAGGTAATAAAAAACATCAGTGATGGATAAAAAGAAGCAGGAAATAAAGTCGCAGAGAAGAAAAACATTAAAAAGGATAGGAGGAAATTGATGCAGATACCAGAACCGATATTGAAAAATTCGAGATAAACAACAAATCACCACAAGAAGATGAGGTGACAGCTGGAAGAACGTTTAAAGTCAAATTAACACTGAAAAGACTTTTAACCAATGTCCAAATATATATAGCAACCTCGTAAATCTGCTTTTTATGGAAGGTGAAAATCATCATCAATCGCTCTTCACTCAAGAAACTGAGCTCATTCATTTATAAATTACCAAAACAAGTGTTAATCCCTTAATAAAATGGACCGAAAGGGATGCTGATGACCAGTAAGGTTGTCACCCTACATACGAAAAGTCAATTCCACGAGACAACGCCATTTTTATATGCGCCCAGCTAAAACGTTCCCCTTTGGGCGAAAACGCATTTAAAATGGGGTTTTATTCCCTATGTGCACTGATTTCCGTGACGTATAAGTGCATTTAGGGCGGAAACGCCTGCAAGGTGCACTTTTCACACCCCATTATGCATCTCGTACATAATAAATGCATGCATAATGCATGCTACAGGTGGCGCTGATTCATATACAAAGGTCAATTTTACACAGATGTATAACTTCTGGCTATATCAATTTATGCAAAAGGATTGTTTACTATTACATCCAAATATGGTAGTCACTGACCATTACATAAGACTTGATTGAGTTTAGCTCGTTAAAAACTTCGAAGATTGTTACAATGTATAGTCTAATTTCACTAACACTCATCACTTCTTCTGAAAAATATACAAAGTTTCGTGTTTCAAAATCCGTCTCTGTAAGCGATGGTAATAAATTACCGTTAAAAAATCTAGTGTAGAGTCGGTTAAAGTGTATTTTGTAGGCACATTATCGGCATTAGTGTTCGTTTGTGACCCATTTAAATGTTGTTTGTTCTGCTTCGATGATAAAACCGACAATACATAATATCCCTCTCTGGTGCATGTTGATGGCACACACACACACAAAAATATGTTATTTGGAGAAAGATGGCGCCCCGGATCGGGTTACGTGTTTTGCGTATATAAATAAGAAAATCTGATACCAGTTTTAGAGAAAATTGGATTTTTTTTTAATACTTATGTCATTCAAACAATTTGTATGTCCATTTTACTTCAAATATTTGCTTACTTTGCACATCTGACATCAAGTTAACGGTTTTTAAATTCCTAGGAAGAATGCAGGTAAACAATATGTAGGTATCTATGTCGAGTTAAATTTGAAATTTTACATATTGTCATATTCAACCAACGTGAAAATCCAGCAGCTTTAACCAACCAGAACACCTGGTTGGGCAGTTATACGCTGAACAATATAGAAAGGTAGATACATAGAAAACACCTGAATATGGATTTGTTGTGGAGCTTCCATCCTTATACCACAGCTTATACTGTATGAAAAGTGGAATAAAGTTTGCAAAAGCTTTAATAAAGGAAATTTTGAAGTTGCAGCTTCTACTAGAGCAATACCAAAGTACTTACTCCCCAATTCTAGTACTACAGAATTCCGCTTACTGGGTTCATGTTAAGAAATTGCCATATTTCATAAAAAAATCTTGTTCAGTTCGCTCAGAAAAAAGTTCGCTTTAGCAAAGTAACTGGAACTTCAGATTTTCAACGGCTTCTAATGAAATATTTAACAAATTTTTTTCTGAGGGAATTCGCAATTTTATTTGTCCAGATAAAGAAACAGCTCTTATGTCTCCAGAATTGAGACAATGCGTACAAACAAAGGGAGAAGAACTACAACACAATAGAATTATCTGACTAAGGCCCGGTTGTACAACGGACGTTCAACCGAAGTTCACACTGACTAGTGGTTCAAAGGAAAAAACTCGTTGTACATGGTCGGTTCAGAGTGTGAACTGAGGTTGATCTTGAACGTCCGAATTTGGGCGTTCAAGGGGAGTTCAAGTCTTTTCTAGGTTTTTCTAACCTGACT